AATGTCAATGTTCTTGCCTAAGGAAGCAAGATGATCGGCGTCTAAGAAAACGTCAGCTCCCGTCAGAACTACCCCTTTGCTCCACTTCAGGGGCACTTTTATTCTGTGTTAATGCTCCACACACACACCCAGAGTCTGTATGAGGTAGGAAGCAGCCCTGGCCCCTCCCTAGGAGCTGAGGGTCTACGAGGGAACCCACTGTCTGTTTTGCTCACCAAGTGCCAAGAACACTGCATGGAGCATCGTAAACACCCAGTAAATATCTAGTGAACACCAGCTCTGTCCTCATCAGTGACTCGGTGCGGGGGTTGGGGTTCCTAATACTTCTGCTCCAACACCCTGCAGTGTAGCTTCTATACTCAAGGTCACATCGTGGTCCAAGATGGCTGCTGAAGTGCCAGCCATTGCAACCAGCAGACAGAAGAAAGGGCCAACAATGTGTACTTCGAAGATAATCAATTCTCTTTAATAAGCCTTCCCAGAAGTCCTACACAACCTTTTTTAAAAAAATATTTTATTTATTTATCTTTAGAGGGGAAGGGAAGGAAAGGGGGAGAGAAACATCAATGTATGGTTGCCTTTCGTGCATCCCCTGCTGGGAACTGGCCTGCAGGGAACTGGCCTGCAACCCAGGCATGTGCCCTGACTGGGAATCAAACCATGATTGTCTGGTTCGCAGGCCCGCGCTCAATCCACTGAGCTACACCAGCCAGGGCCCTACACAACCTTTTTGTTCACAGCTCTTGGTCTTGAATGTAGCTATGTGGCCACACCTAACTGCAAGGGGTTGGGAAATAGAGTTGTTGGCTAGACACATTACCTCTGAGACTCCCCTGCTAGGATTCTTCTCTGTGAGGTCTGGCCCCGGGCTCTGTTTCCACGACTGCAGCACCACGGAGGGCACGTCTCTGAAAAGCAGCTTGTCACATACTTGGAACAATAAATGTCTGAGAGTTTTTGTTTGGGTTTTTTTTTTCTTTTTCTTTTCTTTTTTGGCTCCAAACATCATTTTCCTTTGACTTTTGCCAATTGTGCTAGTTCTGCTTCATGAAACCAGACTGAAAAAAATCAATTTTTTCCTTCAGTATGAAAATGGATGTTGTATTGAGTGACTGGACAATAAATAGCCCTTCACATTTTCTGAGAGAGCCATTCTGCGGGAATACACCTTGTCTTTGTCAAGAGGTAGCTCGCTAGTCCTTTCACCCCTTTCTTCACAAGATCCTGTACTGTCCTCGCTCTTTAACGGGTTGACCCTGACCTTCAGACGACACGGCTTCCAGACAGTGCAGGATGTTCCAGAGCTGGGCCAGCCAGCGGCAGCTTGGGGGCAACTAACAACGCCCCTGTTCTCTCCAGCACCCGAGGTTGAATTAGCTTCTTTGTCAACCTGCTTATTCTATGGGCTTATAAGAAGCTTGGGTCTACTGGACCCTTGGGGAGTTTCCACATGAATCTCCAGGAAGGCAAGTCCTCCCCTTTGGTGCTTTGTGACATTTTTAACCTGCGTGCATTTATAGCTGAGCCTGTTGTATTTTCCCATCATGGAGATGGGAGCAAAACTTCAGCGCTTCAACACCTTGAGCTCTTTCAGAGTGCGACTCTGCCATGCACACACACATGCTCTCTGGACCCTCTGGTCCCTCACCGGCCAGAGCAGCCCGCCTTCCAAATCTTTATCTAGGTCAGAATGCTTGGCAGGCATCGTCATGGGTACAGCCCGTAAGAAACCTTCTTTCTGGGTAAAACCTACCCACTCTCATGGGAGTTCCTTTCAGAGTCACGTTCGAGGACTTGTGTGAATTTCACAACATAGATTAGGTAAGGAGTGGGCTTTACTAGAAACAGGAAAACTTATAAAATGACAGTCAGCAAGAAAACAGAAAGTATAGTTCTCCCTGCCTCCTGCTGTCTTCATGAGAAGGGACGGGGCCAGGGTAGGACAGCTGACCCCACTGGTCGGAGAGCAGCCCCACTGGGCACCTGGCGGTCTGGGTGTGGGTGCTGGCTGTCCCCAGGAGCCCCCTGGGAAAGCAAGCTAGCAAGCTGCCAGCCCATGGACAGCTCAGAGACCATGGGATGCTGTGGGAAAACGCCACGGCTACCCCCGTGTACCCCCAGAGGAAAGGGTACCTCAGGCCCAGGCTGGCCTGTGGTCCAGACAACCCAGAGGGAGCACCAGGGCCATTTGCGCCCAATTCTGTGGCTCTCGTCACGCCTCTGAATCAAAGATTCTTTGGATTTAGTTTTTTATTCCACTGCAAATTTATCTAAGAATATTGACCGCCAACCTTAATCATCTACCTGGTCTATAAAGAGATCAGTGAAAACCTTGGTAGACACACTGCCCTGGCCGGACATGGGCGGCAGGGGCTACACACTCGTTCAGTCCACCCCCTTCCCCAAGTATCAGCTCCGAGAGGTCAGTGTCAGGCACGCAGTGGGGGGAAGGGCAGTGATGGGGCTGGGTTTGAGGTCAAGTCTGAGACCCACGGCCCTGCAATTGGCCTTTCCTACCACTAGATGGGGATCTTGGGATGGGGAAAGGAAATGCTGACTCAGTTTCCTAAGAGACATAGGAAACGGATCAGGACAGTGGCCTGGCCAGAGGGCTCCTAGAAGGTAGAAGTCCCTCATGTGACCGTTTTTTCCTAGTTGGGGTGACTGAGGAACCTCCGACCCCGCCCTCTGGAATGCTCTTCAGCACGAGCACCATGGGTTTAAGCTACATCATCACCTGACGTCTGTGTGGAGTAGAAAAGGGACTCCGCTCTCCCGTAGAACTAACGATTGCATCTAACCAGTAACTGGGGACCCCTCGGGGCTCTCCTCAGTCACTCAGTGAAGACCTAAAGGAAGAACCAAGTCATATTTCAAAAACATGAGCCACATGGAGGCACGAACGAGCCCGAGTGACTGATTTTTCCGGCTCCTTGGCTGTCAGACCCTAGCCGTCCACGCCACCCAAGGCAGCCCTTTGGCATCACCCCCCTGGGGCATTCTGGGGGAAGCCGGGTCCTGACACGCGGCGAGGGACGCCGAGGAATAGGGTTGGGGAGCTCTAGGCAGACGCGACCTATGCAGACGCGTACACACACAGAAAGGTGAAGAAGTCGCGGTTCTCTACGGACTTCAGAAATGACCCCTGAGAGTATAGTCTTAAAGTCACGGTTCTTTAAAACGCTTGGCACTGTGAGGGTAGCTACATGAAAAATTAAGTTTTATGGCAATGTAGGCTGGGTTATTTAAATAGTCATAATCAATGATTACTTGGCAGCTGAGTGCTATGATTAAAAATCCAAAGAGTATAGAAAATAAAGCCACTTCATTTTTCTTAGCCTCATCTGGTGACATTTTTTTCACTGCTTTTAGAGAGAGGGGAAGGGAGAGAGAGACAGAGAAAAGTCAGTATGAGAAACATCCATCAGTCCTTCTGTACATGCTGGGGTTTGAACCTGAAACCCAGGAATGTTGCCATGACTGGGGCTTGAACCAGCAACCTTTCCATTTGTGAAGCCCAACCAGCTGAGCCACACCCTCCAGGGCGAAAACAGAGCCACCTGAAGTCAGACTGACTACCTGGCATGGCCACGCAGGAGGTGAGGCTGCAGGCAGGTGGGGGAACGGAGCAGTCCCCTAACGTCCCGCATGTTTACCCACCGGGGCTGATCTCACACATGAGTGGGGTTCTTCCCGGAAAGCCTGCCGGATCTGGTGCCACGGCCATGGCCAGTTCCCAGGGTAACAGCTGGGCTCCACCTGACAAGGGTTTAGTAGGTGGGTTCATTCCTGGCCGTCCATCTCAGCAGAGCTGCCGCGAACTGAGGCAGGGTCCAGGGCTCGGGCTGGAAGCTGAGTGGCCACAGTGCCCTGGGACCACGGAGGCCCCCACTGCCATGTCTTGGCCAGGGGTCTCCTGCCCAACAGCGCCCAGAGCTATCCCAACCTGTCCCTTATCAGCCCTGTGCAGGAAGCCCGTGGGCTGGCACAGGGCCACAGAAGTGACCAAAACCTAACCTCTGTAGATGGAGGGCACAAAGGTGTCACAGAAACTTCAGCTTCAGGTCATCATGACTGCAGGAACGGTGGCAAACTAAGGGAGCATGGAGGGGGCCCCAGAAGGCTTCCTGCAAGAGGTGGCACAGGAAATGAGCATTGGGAAAGTAACCATTACGAAAGAGAACACCGTGAACAAAGACAGGGAGGGGAGACGCCTGGCCTCAGTGGTTGGCCGGCCCTGGCTCCTCTGCTGGACATTCAGGAATTTCCAGAGGTCAGACCTTTGGTAGCCTGCGCTGGTCAGAGTGGGAGTAGACCGGCCAAGGCAACCGACAAGTGACACAAATCAGGACTGGTGTCTTGTGTATCAGAGGGCGAGTTTGCCGGCACACCATTGGGGCCACACGTGTGAGGAACCGGGAGCAATGTGTCCGTTGTAGGAGTGATGGGACTCTTGGGGACCAGGAACAGGAGTCTGTGATGAGATACTGGGCTGTCTGGTGGCCTCTGAGGAAGCCGCAGGCCGTTAGGAATGGACGCAACCAGGAGCTCAAACCCTCTCAAGACCCGCTGGCTTTTACCTCTGCTTCCTTCCGAAATATTTCTGCCTGTCTCTCCCGCGCTTTTTTGCCCTCTCCTTCCTGCTTGCTCATTCAGTCAATGGCCTCTCTGCGTCTCTGTTCCGGATGTCAGGAGACATGACAGACGGGTCCCTCAACTTTAAATAGGGGAGCTTCTACTCCTGGAAGAGACCTATTTCTCCTTTTCTGTCCCAGCCCCAGAAAGTCCTGGAGAACAACTGTAATTCACTCCCTTGGGCCAGGTGTTCATTTCTGGACCAGCCAACTGCAATAGAGCATGACTCAGACAAGGAACTGAAATCGGTCCCTGTTTAGTCAAGTGGCCATCCCAGAGCCAATCAGCTGTGGCCACAGGTCGCATGAACAGCCCAGCTTGCAAGGTAGCCATGGGTCATGGGTGGGGCGGGGGGAGTAGCCATTCCCAAAAGCAAGCAGGTACTGGGCAGAAAAGCAACAGGATCCCCTGAGGAGGAGGAGAAGAGTGGCCGGTAAGCCTGTAAGGTAGGCGGACTCCTGTGTGGCGGGCTGGGGCTTTACCCCGTGGATGACTCAGGGGACAGGGCGGAGGCACCTAGGGAGGAGTGGTGTGATCAGGTTTCTGTTTTGGATAGATTGCCAAGGCCATGATTGATGGACCAGTGTCTCACAGGTCCGACTTGGAGCATAGAGGACAGCTGGAAGAGGACCGCCCTTACCCAGGAGAGAACGCATCGAATTCACTTGTCTTCCCTGTGCTGACGGTGTTGTACTCTGTTCCGCCTTTCACCGGCTTTGTCGTGTTACTGCACCCCCCTCTGTTCCCCTGGGGACGGTGCTCACCAGGCCAGCGGTCACCTGCCTTCACCCAAAGGTCCTGAGCAAACTCATTTTTCCCTCTGATTTATAGCAAACAAGACACAACTATTTCCACACGGTAAAGCTTTTGAATCCCCCATGGTTGCCTTCCTTCATCAGCTCAGACTTTTAAAAGGCTTGTACTTCCCAACTTTTCCCTTAAACCTTCATACCCACGGGTTCATTATAATGGCATAGTGTGCTCACCTTACCTCGCCTTAATAAAGGACAAGCAGAGAAGCACAGACTATCAACTCAGAGAGAGAATGAATTGAAACAGGAAAGACTGGAAGAGCAGAGAGTCAGGGAATGGCCCTGAGGCCCTGGAGCTCAAGGGCAAGCTGGGGAGGAAAGAAGGGATTACTCACACGTGAGCAAACGCCGAGCAGAGCCGCACAGGAGGGGACGAGAGGAAGGGGGAGGCTGTCATTCGAGCCACCTTTGCCTGACAGCCTCTGTGTCTTTGTTGGACTGTGTTTGAACCAACACTGACCCTTCTGGGGTGCCAGATTCACACAGGTTATAATTTTGCTAAGTCTCTTTGTGCAAGTTACCATTTAAAATAAATCTAGCTGGTGAAGTTTCTGGATATGTTGTTGTTGTTGAAATAGAGATACAGAAAAGGACCGCTAAGTGAGCAGCCCGATGAATTTTCACGGACCGAACAGAATGTGCATGTGCACCCAGCACCCAGATCCGGGGATAAAATAGGACACACACCCAGGAAGTCCCTTTGCCCTCCCTTTTGGTCACCACTCACTAAAAAGATAAATGCAACCCTTGCCTGTAACAGGATAGACTGGTTTCTGCTTGTTTTTGAAATTTGTGTCTATAAATAGAGTCACATGGTGTTTTGTTTTGTTTTTGAGTCCAGCTCCTTTGGTTCAACGTCACGGATGTGATAGTCACCCACGCTACAGCAAGCAGCTGCAGATCACTCCTTCTCCTGGGTACACGGACTTCCACGGGGGTGAATGTGCTGTGATCGATCTGCTCTGATGATGGAGTTTAGGGGGTCCCAGGCGGGGCTGCTCTGAACAGTGCTGCGGGGACCCCTCCGATTAGCCATCGATCTGGAAGCCAGCACTGCGTCCCTCGTTCCTAAGCCATTATTTGTCTCGAAGGGTCAGGTCAAAGTTTGTAGTCAGGCCTGGATTTAGCCGGTCTGATCTCTGTCACAGAGAAGTATGAAGAACTACAGAGAGCATGAGAGAGACAGAGACTAAAAGAGAGAAAGAGCGATGCAATAAAACAAAATTTTTCTTCTGGCCAAACGGAGCGCAGTGGCCAGACCAGAGAAGCATGGAGTGCCTGAGTCTCCCTGGGACACCCCCCCTGTACATGGGCCTCAGCGCTCACACCCAGCCTCTGACAATAACAACAAAGCCCGTTAGCGAGTCACTGCGTCCGTCATGGACACACCACGGCCACACTTCCTCAGTGTCCGCCCACGCTGCTGCTTTCGTTGGACAACACACCCAAAGTGGAATCCTTCATTTTGCTGAGAAAGGCCCCGTTGTGTTTTAAATTGCTTCCCCCCCGCCACTCTCTTTCTTTCTATTTCCATATACGTTTGCCTTGGAGATCGAAATTCAGCCTGTTTATTACTCAGGAAACAAAAAAGAAAAAACAATCTCCGAACGAGCGCCGTGTGGCGTGACCGCAGCGTTTTTGGGGAGCGTGTGCAGTTTCCCACCGTCAGGACTTTCTACCTCGTTAGAGTCGATGCTGAGACCCACACCCAGGCCGTGGAAAAGGGCTCTTCCACAACAGATTGGCGGAGCACGATGGCCCCGCCGCCTCCGCGGATTATTTCAACTTGGGGGTTTAATGACATGTGTACCAGCAAAGGCGGGTTCCCACCTGGTGGGGTTAGTCAATAGCCACGTTTCCTGTTACCTATTCCTTGAAATAAAACAGGGGGGTGGGCAGTGGGGTATTGTGATGGGGAACCCGGAGGGAGCAGGCCTTCCACTGGCCACTGACTGACTGAACCATGACAATGGCCTCCTGTGGATTGCGCAGGTGCAGTCAGGAGGCAGGTGGAAGCATTTATAACGTGCAGGGAACATGGTCCGCCTGTCACTGATGCTCCATGACCACGTTGGGTAGGGTGAGAGTTTGGGAGGGACATTCCGTCAATGGCCTATGCGATTGTTCTGCATCATTGGTCAGCTCTTCTCTTGCAAGGGCTTATGTTTGATTGGAAAAGCTGCTTTTTCAAGCGGCTTTCAGCCCAAGGATGGAGGCCAGACAAAGAACTGAAGGCCCGAGTCCTGCCTCTGCAACTCAGCTGCTATTCGACCCTGGACAAGTCGCAGCGCCCCTGGGCCTGCATCTCCCCACTGGTGAGTCTCGAACAAAAGAGACCGCCGGCGTGCAGTGCACTGGGTCACGGTGCAGCCCTGCTCTCGGCCAGTGACAGGAGCTGCGACGAGCTACTCCCCCTGGAGAAGTGACTTGTACCGAACTCATGTGCCAGCTGATAATATAAATGTTTGTCTCTGTCCTTCTGTCAACTTTCTGCTCTGCCTGTGGGTTCTGGGCCGTGTGAGGGAGCCGTCTGGACACAGATGCAGTGGCGGATTTGTCCCCACGGCGGATTCTTCGGTCGGTGACCAGAGTGTGGGAGCGTGGGAATGTGGCTGGGGATGGGGCCGCTTCACTGACAGGTGCTTGTCACCAGGGCTTCTGACCTCTTTGATGCCGCGATTCTTGCTGTCCAGCGCTCACCATGGCTGGGCATGTGCTTCTACGTCAGAGGCTTCACCTGCAACACAGAGGTTGGACTCTCCTTCCAAACTGTAGGTTCCCGGTAGCCTGGACAGCGGCGGGTTCTCTGGGGTTCTTCTTCTGCTGCTGCCTGGCCTCTCCAGGGTCAAGCGGTCCAGCCCAGCACCCAGCAGTGACGGGCATCCTGGCAGCATGGTCTCCCCCCCGGGCTTTCGGGGACGTGTCCACTTGCTACCCTTACATCACAAACCACCCCAAACTGTCTCCCAGTAACATCTGCCTTGCTCAGGGCTGGGTGGAGGCAGCTTGTCTCAGCTCCACGTGGCTTCAGCTGGCATGGCTCCCGGGTGGGAGCTGGAATCACCTGAAGGTCAGCTGACTCTGTGTTAGGTGGCTGGTGCTGGCTGGCTGTCAGCGTGTCTAACTGCTCGGCCTCTCCCTGTGCCCTGGGCTTCCTTCCATCCTGGTGGCTGCTTCCCGAAGGTGAGTGTCTTGTGGAGAGAGAGTGAGCCAGATAGAAGTCATATCAGCCTTTAGGGCCTGGCCTGAGAAGAGTCCTTTCCACCACGTTTTGTTCACGGAGGCAGTTGTGAAGTAGCCCGGCACCCCAGTTTCAAGAGGAGGGGACACAGACTCCCCGTCCGGGTTCGGGGCATGGCGGTGCTCCAACAGCACATGTGGCATCGTAACCACGGCCGAGCCAGTTGGGGAAACGCGTTCCGCCACAGGGACCCTTGTGATGGCAATGCGGTGGGTTCTCCTGGGAGATTTTATTTCTTTATATTTTTAATCATGATTGGCGTATTCAGGGCTACCTCAAATGGTGAACTTCAGATTTCTTGCTCTTTGACTGCAATGTTTATTTTTCTAAAAAGATTTCACCTATGTATTTTTAGAGAGAGGCGAAAGGAGGGAGAAAGAGAGAGAGAGAGAGACATCAATGTGTGGCTGCCTCTCACGTGCCCCCTACTGGGAACCTGGCCTGCAACCCAGGCATGTGTCCTGACTGGGAATCAAACTGGTGACTGCTTGGTTCTCAGGCTAGCGGTCAATCCACTGAGCCACACCAGCGAGGACATGAAATGTTTAAAATGAAAACAAAAGTTTTTAATAACATTATGGAGAAAACAGAGCACACATTCATATGCTTTTATTAAAAATATTGTTTGTCAGGAATAAAATAAGATTCTCGTTGTTCATGCCAGCACAGAGCATGAACTTACATTGGTATTTGTTTCTGACGCTGGTGAAAGACCTGATTTTTCGAGCGCTTTCCAAAGAAATGCTACTCTCGCCGTCTGCACAGACTGCCATCTGCTCATGGCTGACTTGGGAGGTGGTCCAACTTCCTTCAAGGTCATTGCAAGCAAACTTCTGTTACATCTCAGTCAACACTTCACTTGGTGAAACTACTCATAGACTCACAGGATGAGTACATTTCGGTGAACTTCAGCCAACAGCTCTCTGGAATCCGTCTGCAGCTGCCCACTGACAGGGAGGCAGCCTTTCGGCGACACCCACAGCCACATTCGCACAAACGAGAGCTCTGGAAAGCACGGGAATCTGAACTAACCAACTCCCAAGGCACGGTCCAGATTGGGCGGCCGCACGCCTTGTCCTCGAAGGTGAAACCAAGACTTTGCTCTGTGTCTTGAAAAGACACTGTGACGCTGGAAGATCACTGTTTGCCTCATGAACACCTGTGGCTTGGGAATGCATTTTATTAAACATTCCTGCCTCTCCCGGAACGAGACCTGTCCCCAGCTTTTCTGTCCCCATCCTGGTAGAAGCCTCCGTGTCTCACGCCTCACCCAAGCCCCCGTCTGGGTTTTCTGTCCCTTCCTCCAGCCCATGCTCCGGGTCCAAAGCCTTCAATGGCTGTGAATTCGAATGTACATTTCCCTTATTTTACTTTTTTATGGAAGCTATTGGGGCGATGCTGGTTAATAACTTTATACAGATTTCAAGTGTACAACTAATGCATCATCATCTGTATACTGTGTGTTCACTGCCCCATAAATTGTGTGTTTCTTCACGTGGTGTGAAACGCCCTCCCTACCTGGCCACAGCCCGTATTCCAACCTCATCTTGGTGCTCCCATCTTTTCCCGAGTTGGGTTGTCGGCCGGACTCGCCCGGTCGGACGTTATTTAACAATGCCTTGTCTGCACGAGGTTCGGGGCCGGGTGAGGTTGTTCGCTGACCGCCCCACTGCAAATTTCTCCGCTCTGTTCCTCTCACCATCCTTCCTCTCGCCATCCTCCCAGCTCCACCGTGCCCCTGGCCAGGGCCCTTTCCTGTTGATCTTTCCTTCGCAGTCCTGCACGAGGTGACTTTTCATTGCATCCCCAGCGCCTCGCTCCCTCCTTCCTCTACTTCCTTCTGCCCCCGAGCTTTCGCAATAGCCCCCCGAGGTCTTCCGGCCTTCGGCAGCTTGTCTTCAAACTCCCCTGATGAAAAAGCACTGGTGGAGTGTCCCCCTGAGCTGCTCTGTGCCAGTGTCCTCCTCTAATTCCAGGAACTTTGGGCTCCTGCTGTTTGCCCTTCACACAAGTCTGAATGCTTGGATCTGGCCGCTGAGTGGCCTCCCTGGTGTCACTGTTTTCACTGATGGCGAAATTGTGGAGGAGAGACCTTGAACTAAGGCTGATCTCAGAATGTTTCCCACTGGCAGCCATGACCCATCGTTGGGTCAGTGGGCAGCAAAATGTACGTAGTGGGCCATAGCTAACATCTGTTTTCATGGGTTAGATTAGAGCGGAGTCATCAGAGTACATAGGAGTACGGAGCGTGTAGGAAAAGTATCACCCGCTACAACATGTGTTCCACTCACACACAGACAGTGGCGCAAGGCAGTTCTCACCGTGGCACATGCAAAAAACCTGCAAAAACCACTGCTTTGTCCGAATCCCAACCTGTCTCCTATTTCCTATACCTTCTTTTTGCAGAAAGACATGTCCCCAAGCGTTCTAAGACTCTCCGGAAACCTCTCTGAACATCTGTGGGCCTGCCTGCTCTGTGTAACCTGCTGCCGGGCGCGGGTGGTAAGACCTGGCCCTCCTCCCGCCGGGCAGCGTCGCTCGGCCCACCTAGCTAGCGAAGAGCTCTCCCATGCGCTCCTCCTCACTCAGCCCCTGTCTCTGCTGCGTTTACCAGCCTGGAGAGATGCAGAATTGAGCTCCATGGCAACCGGCAAGATAGGAAAGCAATCATCTAATTTTTGATATCACTTAATAAAAGGACAACACATGATGCAAGAAAAAGGACAGATAATCCACCCTGATATGCTTGGGGACCAGAGCCAAGATAACCCATTAACCAAGGAGCCCTCGAGTATTTCAGCGTGTAGCCATCACTGCTCGGGTCAGGGGTCCAGGACGGTGTCTGAAGGGCCCGAGGCATTAGCAGGTGGCCCTTGTGCCTGAAACCAGGCTCCACATCTCACATCATGATCCACCTCCAAGGAGCATCAGGCATTTGGCAGTTTCTGCTGTGTCAGCAAGAAAGCAAGGGATGGAGGAGAGGCAGGGGGTGGGTCCATGGAGACAGTGCTGCGCAGCCAATGAGGAGAAGACTTACTTGTGCTAGTCCCGCCTCCTTCTCTCACTAGAATGGACTAGAGCAAGTCCTTTAGAGTGTAAGCACCAATTTCTCTTTCCTCAAAATGGAAAGTGAAAAAGGATTTGCACTGTTAATTATGGAATTAAGACTAGTTAAGATCCCAACTATATACCGAGTAAACTCACTTTAGATCAAAGGACATGCATAGGCTGAAGAGACACAAGGCCCATGGTAACCAAAGGCAAGCAAGAGAAGTTATACCTATATCAGACAAAGGAGACCTTAAGTCAAAAACTCTCAAATGAGACAAAGGACATTCTGCAATGATAAAGGGCCAATCCACTGGGAAGAAATAACCATTATAAATATCCGTGCAGCCAACCTCAGAGAACTTAAGTGTGGAAAGCAAACTCTGCTGGAACTGAAGGGAGAATTGTACAGCACTACGATACTAGGAGACTCCGGTACCTCTCCTTCAATGATGCAGAGGACGTCCACCCAGATCGACTAGGGAGCCGAGGGCTTGAATGACACCGCAGACCACGGGGACCTTGCAAACGCACACCGAACACTCCACCCACCAGCAGCTGACCCTCGCAGATCTGTGTCTTTGGGACGAAATGGAACAGCACTAAAAATCAACAGCAGAAGGAAAAATGAAGTAGTCACAAATAGTAGGAAGCAAACAACAAACGGTCGAATGGCCACCAAGTCAAAAAAGCAATCAAGCCCTGGCTGGTGTAGCTCAGTGGATTGAGCACGGGCCTGTGAACCAAACAATCGCAGTTTGATTCCCAGTCAGGGCACATGCCTGGGTTACAGGCCAGTTCCCAGCAGGGGACGCACGAGAGGCAACCATACATTGATATTTCTCTCCCTCTCTCCTTCCCTTCCCCTCTAAAGATAAATAAAATCTTTAAAAAAAAAAGCAATCAAAAAGGAAATTAGAAAATACCACACACACACACACACACACACACACACACACAAAATCACAACCTATCTCCCATCCAAGTACTAACCAGGGCCGACCCTGCTTAGCTTCCGAGATCAGACGAGATCGGGCGCGTTCAGGGTGGTGTGGCCGTAGACAATCACAACCTATCCAAATGTGTGGGATGTAGCAAAAACCATACTGAAAGGGAAGCCTATTGGGATAAATGCCTCTATTAAAAAAGAAAAAAGATCTCAAATTTAAAAAGCTAACTGTAGACCCTGAGAAGCTAGGAAAAGAAGGACAAAGCTCAGAGTTAGCAGAACAAAGGAGACAATAAAGATTAGAGCAAAAGTAACAAAGGAATAAAAAATATATATAAAAGATCATGACACAGAATTTTTTTGAAATATATCAGAAGGGAATATAACCAAACGTTAGCGATGGTTAACCTGGATAGGAAGGAGGGTGGTGACTCTTCTTCAAATTTCTATATTCCTGAATTCTCAAATTTTTGTGTAAGGAACATGTAAATGTATGTAATAATAAAAATAAATATTAAAGATAGCCCGAAAGGGCAGCATTCATTTTTTAAAAATATTTATCTTTAGAGGGAAGGGAGGAGAGAGGGAGCGAAACATCAATGTATGGCTGCCTCTCGTGCATCCCCTGCTGGGGACTGGCCTGCAACCCAGGCATGTGTCCTGACTGGGAATCAAACCAGTGACCCCTAGGTTTGCAGGCTGGTGCTCAATCCACTGAGCTACACCAGCCAGGGCGGCAGCATTGATTTTTTCCATAATAGAGAAAATAAGTGACTCGTGATTGAGAAGAGAGTCTAGAAGTTTTGTGGCAGCGCCAGGGGTTCCAGGAAAGTAAGGTGGGTGGAGACATCTCCGGTTCGTTTGCAGCTGGATTGCCCAGAAAGAAGGCAACACGAATATCTGAGCCCCTAGAAACCCACTGAGATCGCAGTACACAAAACTCTATCCACCCGATTTTACCACAGCGTAGTTTAAATCCTTGCCTTCCTAGCTCTGAGGCTTGGCAAGGGTTTTCAGCCCATCAGAGCCTCCAATTCCTCAGCTGCGCAGTGGCAGGAAGGCTGACCTTCGTTTGGTGAAGGTTAAGTGAGAGGATGTATATAACCGCCCCTAATTGTTTCCCTTCCTCCTCCAACAAGGACCTTTCCAGGTCTATTTTACTGGGACTCCTCGTTTTATTTGGGCCTCTTTTATTTGCAAATAACTGAACCAACTGGAAGCAGCTTAAGTGGGCAAATGTCACGGAAAGATGCAGGGGCTTCTGGCAGACGGCAAAGCAGAAGCTGGGTCAGGCTGGGGGGGGGGGCACCACGTGGTATCTGAACCGAGAACCACAAAGCTGTGGGGACTCAGAGCCCAGCTCTCAGTCTGTCCCTGGGACCACGGCTTCATGCCTTCGTTGTCTGTGGCGCTCGCCCACTTCTCTGTCCCTGTGGATGGACAGTGTCTGCTTTCCCTCATTAGGGCCGACCCTGAGCCCTGGAGTTGACTCCCTCTTGTCCCTGCTCATCTCAGAGAGGGACCCGAAGTCCCTCACACTCCACTCCAGTTCAGGGAGAGAGGTAGCTGATTGGCCGATGGCGGTCAGGTGTTCACCCCAGGCCAAGTCCACCCTCTTTTGTTCGTCCGCCTTTGGTGGATGGGACCCTCTCCACAGAAAAATACACAAACATGGAATGTTTACACCTAGTTTCAAGGGGTCCTCGGAGGCACCACCATGAGTTATGGACCGCAGGTGAAGAAAACCTGGTTGGGGGAGCTTTCCTGATGTAACTCAACTCCTCCTTCGTATGTGAAAGAAGCGAGTCGTCGATATAATTTGCACAAGGAGAACGTTCACATCAGAGACATTTCTTAGAACCTGATCACAGCAGAATGCTCCTTGGAAACAAACACAGCAACAGCAGTTCTATTTCACTTACGTCTTTGCAAACCGTCCCCATACATCCCTTTCGGCACCGCGCCCACCTACAGCATCAACAACTCACAATGCCAGGGGATCGCCGGGCCGTGTTACCTGCCGCTGCCCCCGCACTTCTCCCCGCCCACGTGTCCTCTTCAGATCCCACGGATGCGCATCTCCTTTCCCTTCCTGTTTTCCACCTGGAGGCTGTGAGCTTCAGAACCCTGGTCTCCTGTGAACGGACTTCCCAGCCAAGCTTCTTCCCCTGTCCTTCCCACCCCCCGCCCCCGCCACCCCAAGGTGCCTGCTTCTGTCAGCATTGTGAGTCTCGAAAACAAAAACCAGAAATAAAGCTCCAACTCATGAGAGAGGATGAGAGAGAGGGAACGGGAGAGAGAGGGAACGGGAGAGAGAGGGAGAATTATTAGCTGATTATGTAAGAATTAGGTTTGGTAACTAAAAAGTTCAAAATCAGTAGGATGGATGTTAGGTGCAACTGTGTCCAGGGACAAAGGTCATCGAGACCACATTTCTTTCCTCACCTCTCAGTCCTGTG